TGCCATATGTCTTGTTTCTTGCTGAGAAAGCTTTGTTCCTCAAACTGATTTCAGTGTTATCGTTCATCAATTTTCTTTAATTTACCACTGAGTTTGAACATTGTGGGCTTGACTCCCCAGGTTCCAAACGTCTCTAAGCGTCCCCCAGGACCTAGTTCACCGCCTAAGCGTGTGCCCACTCCCCTCGGAGCTGCCTGTGCCCTCCCGGTGCCGCGGTTCGATGAGCCTGCAGGGGGCGTCCTGCCGCCTCGGTTACAGCCGAAGAGATTGGGCCTGAGAAGGGCGGGACTTGCCCGGGTGTCCGCCTGTGCGTGGGATCGCGAACAGGCCTCAGGCTCCCAGACCAAGTGTTGTCCCTGAATTATACTTAAGTCAAAGTTTCTTTTTTTTAAAATATATTTTATTGATTTTTTACAGAGAGGAAGGGAGAGGATAGAGAGCCAGAAACATCGATGAGAGAGAAACATCGAACAGCCGCCTCCCGCACACCCACCACTGGGAATGTGCCCGCAACCAAGGCACATGCCCTTGACTGGAATCAAACCCGGGACCCTTCAGTCCGCAGGCCGACGCTCTATCCACTGGGCCAAACCGGTGCTGGCAAGTCAAAGTTTCTTAAGAGATATTTTTGTTCTCAAGTTTGTACAAAAAATTTAAAGACTTAGTCCTGCTTGAGTGTATGCCTTTACTCAGCATCCTGGGGACTTCCTGATCTTGTTAAAAGAGTTAGTAAGTAAATAGATTTGGCTCAGTGGATAGAGCGTTGGCCTGCGGACTAAAGGGTCCCAGGTTCGATTCCGGTCAAGGGCATGTACCTTGGTTGCAGGCACATCCCCAGTAGGAGGGGTGCAGAAGGCAGCTGATTGATGTTTCTCTCTCATCGATGTTTCTCTCTATCCGTCTCCCTTCCTCTCTGTAAAAAATCATTAAAATATATTTTAAAAAAAGAAGAAAATAGATGACTGTAACAAAATTTCTCTTTTTATCTTCTATATATAAAAGCCCAAGTGACCTATCCGCCAACTGTCCGGTAGCTATGATGCGCACTGACCACCAGGGGGCAGGCGCTCAAAGTACAGTGGGGCCTTGACTTAACGATTTTAATTTGCTCCGAAACCGAGCTCATTAAGGAGCTGGTTAACTCAAATTACTCTCAACTCAATGCAAAAAATCAGCTGAGAGACAACTGGTATCTCAAAAAACGTTAGTCAGGACACTTGCAAGTCAAGGCCCCACTGTACAGGCATGGAAACATGGAACAGACTGATGAATTTCAGAAAGAAGGGGGGGGCAGGGCGGGAAGAGATTAACCAAAGATCTCATATGCATACTAGAGCCCTGCTGTGGTGGGGTCCCGCGGCCTGGCCTCTCGGTCTGACCTGGCCTGTGCGGATTGGGCACAGACTCGCAGTTTGACATCCCCCAAGGGGTCCCGATTGCAAGAGGTCACATGCCAGGCTGCGGGACCCCATCGGGGCACGTGCACCCGGCCTCTAGGGTATAATGATGGAGGATTACTTCAATGGGCTTTGATGTTCATTCACTAATGAGAAATGTATCCACTCAGTCACCAGGGATGTGGGAGTTACACACACACAGGTGGGCTCTCCCTCATCATTCTCCCAGTCACTTCTGAAGGTTTAAAGAGACAGTCTCCCAAGGTGTCTGATGGGACTTTCTGGAGAGTTCTTACGCAGGAAGAGTCGTCCTTGGCAGGCCAGATCACTCCTAACTTCGCTGCCTGCGCTTTTCTTCTCCAGGTCAGCCTCTTGTTTCACAGTCCTCGTTTTTCCAAGAGCAGCAGAAAATGAGTAAATCTCTGGTGAGTTTTTCTGGTTACGTACTTCTTCCCTAGTTTGTTTTATAATACATCTCTTGGAGGTGAATATTTCAAACTTTAAAAGGGGAAAGCAGACCAGATAAAGATATAATCAGATAAAACACAGAGCAGCAGGTCAGCACCAGGCATTTATCATGTTTGTATGTGCAGACAGCATGATCCTCCCACGCTCTAAAGCCAAAATACAGGTGTGCCTTGTGTTCTGACATTCATCACAAAAAATGACAAATACCATCCAATATTTGATTTACATTGACCAGCCAAAAGCAGACATTTGTTTTCTTGTAGGTTTTAAAGAGTGCCTCCTGTAAGCCAAGGGCTACTGCCCAGGGAGCACTCCGTGCATATAACTTCGCTGGTGATGAAAACATTGCGTCCTGTAGACCCACTGTTGTTAATGCTTGATCCAGGGGTAAAACCAAGGCCATCGGAGGAGTGGCCCTCTCACCCTTTAATTAAGTCTCCCCAGGTATCTCTCCCATCATCTGTTGGGGTTGCATTGCAAACTGTGCAGTGACGTGTCTGGCACAGATTCCTTGTGTCCCATCGTGGTTTATGTGGCAGCCTGCAGCCTTGGTCTGTCCCTGCCCCTCTCCTGAACCCAACCTGGTAAAGGCCCCTGTGATCTAGCCTACAGACGCCTGGAGGTTCGCCAGTCCTAGCCTCAACCACTCCCGCCTCACCCATCAGCAGTGCCCTGTGTTGGTTTCTGTACATATCTTTCCTTGGACTTGGTTTTAAGAGGCAGTTCTTTCTCTCCAGGAGCTTCTATTCTCCTTGGAGGAGATCATTCATAAAGGGAAGCTCTGTGGTGAGGGTGAGCACAGCCTGGGTGTAACTGTCCCTTCTGAGTGTGAGGCTCGGTCACTGGGCGGGGAAGGGCCGGTCTTGCTATCAGGATACTGGTGTTTTCTTTTGCTTTTCTTGTGACTTATAGTCTTAAGTGTTTATAAGTTTTTCCAGTTTGAGTCACATTAGTAAACACTGTTTTCCAAGTTTGTTTTGTTTTCCAGGATTACCATATAATTTTGTAATATTTTCATTTTGAAAAATTGAGAACTTGGTATTTTTAAAATTTTTCAAAATGAGCAAGTTTGTGTGGGTGAGATCCCCTAGTTCAAGAGTGCACTCTTCAGTGAGTACTGGGTGTAGCGTCTTTGGTGGTGGTGGTGGTGGCAGCGGCGGCGGTGAGGAGGAGGAATTCCTTGGTTCTTCCATTTCTGTCTGACCTCAGTCTCCCTTCCCAGGCTCTGGAGCCATGTCAGTCGCTTTCTTCAGAAGGCCACACAGACGGCGTACTAACTGCTAACTGGAGGCGTGGCGTGTCTGAGTGTCTTCCTTTCTCCTGATGTGCGGGAGGAAAGAGGACTCTTGCTGGCCGGGGACCTTGGGCCAGTCTTTGCCCCAGTAGGCTCTCGCTGTCCCTGGTGAGGCCTGCGGCTGGTTAACGTCCTCTGGGGGACACTTTATCTCCCAGTCTTTACCAAGGGGATCCGGTGCTTCCTCCCTTCCCGGCCATTACGACAGGCCTCCAGGCCTCGGGAAAGTGAGGCGGTGTTCCCCTCCCGACTGCGGGGAGCTAGCTCTCAGGGCAGTGACTGGGATGGTCACAAGGTATTCTCACTCCCATGCCCCACATTCCAGCCGGTGTGACAACATCTAACACTTCTCATCCTGTGACCATACAGCTGTCCCTGACAGCGATTGATCTGCGGGGTCTTCTGAAACACTGTTACTGGTTGTTCCTTCATCTTCTGTAACTAACCTAACATCCTAAATATCTGCAGTTCTGATTGGTTTCTTAATTTGTTATCCAAGTTTCCGAAACCCACTTTCTTAAAATTAAAAGTGCCCGCAAAGCTGCTTTTTTTTTTTTTTTTTAAAGCCTCACCCGGGAATATTTTTTCCTATTGATTTTTAGAATTGGTGGAAGGGAGGGCAGGCGAAGGAGGAGAGAGAGAACTATTGATGTAAGAGAGACACATCGAATGGTTGCCTCCTGCATGGACCCTGACTGGAACTGGGGATTGAACCTGCAACCCAGGTACATGCCCTTGACCGGGAGTCAAATTCACGACCCTTTGGTGCACAGGCTGATGCTCTACCTACTGAGCAGCACCAGCCAGGGCAAAGCTTCTGTTTTAAGCCAGAGTAAGAACAATGCAATTTTCCCTCTCCTTATGCATAAACGTGAACTTGGCCAAGCTACTAGTACTTAAAGCTGTCACCAAATCACACATTGGTTTAGGACAGTCACAGTCATGCTGTTTTCAAGCAGTAACAACGCATTACAAATAGAAATGGCTGCTGACCGTTCTTGTGGTGGGCCCTGGTCAGAACTGCCGCAGGCTTACCATGCAGGACAATGCATGAGGTTGCTGCTGCCCGGCTTGCCTGTTGCTTTGGTAATGGCAGAACTGCAGATTGGCTCCTGTAAGCTGGAGGGACAGGTTTGGACAGGAGTAGCAGCTGAATTTCGGGCATGTTGAGTTTGAGACCTGGGACCTGTTGGGAATTGAGGAGAGAATCTGGGCTGGTGATGCACGTTTGGTAAATGCCGATACATGGGTGGTAATTAGATCCATGAGGCCAGATGAGAGCACCGTCTGGTGAATGCAGACAGCGAAGAGTGCAGGAACCAGAAGGGAACCCAGAGCCCTCCATCTGGGGATGACGTGGAGGGAGGAGGAGCCAGCCGAGGAGACCGAGCAGGAGTAGAACCAACATGGATCGTGTTCTGGAAGTAGAATGAAGGAGCAAGTGCCCCGTTTTCACGAGTGCCCCTCAGGCCCGCGCTCCTCAGGGGCAGGCTGCTTCTACCTGTCTGAGTCTCCCCAGCAGCCAGGAGTGCCTGGCTCACAGTCAAGACCGTTTCTTTTTCTGTGTGAACTCTGAGTGAACTCTGTGTCTGC